AGAGTCAGGGCTGATCTGACAACTCAGTGCACAGCCTGCTCACCTTTACTCCTTGACCTAAACCTCTTGCTTCTCCAACTAGAGGGTACAGACAGGCCTGACACTTCCAAAGGCCACATGAGAGTCACAGCTAATAATGTAGGCCTCTATGCAACTGCCTGCCTTTTTTTTTTTTGGGGGGGTGGGGGTAGGATTTTACTTGAATTTGACAAAGACCAAAATTTCTTCTTGGTCCAGGTGAGTTTGGAGGATTAGAACTTAACTTCCAAGAAACATTTTTTTGCTCTGTCCAGCAGTGCGGGTAGAAGCTGGTGCAAAGATACCATGCTCTGTTAATGCTAAGACATGTAATTTAATGAGCTAGTTAAAAAAAAAAAACCCCAGCCAAATTAGATAACCATGTATACAGATGGAATATATTATCATTTTTCACTATGCATGGAACACAGCTTGTAGACAATTTTTCTCTGTAACATACCAAATGCTTTCTCCTACTTGTTCTAAATTCAGACATACAAATATAGACACTGATGTTGAATCCCAGTCCCGTTGAAGGCAGTAACAGAATTAATGCTGGTTTCAACCAGTTCAAAATTTTTCTTTTTTTAAAAAAATAAAATAAAAAATTAAGCAGCAGAAAGGGATGTCATAAAGAACTGCCCGTTACTGAATTTTCATGCATTTAAAAGTTTAAATAAGATGCAAAACCATTACCTGAATTTATTTTTTACTACTGAAGATAAAATCTTCAAGTAGCTGTAAAAAGCTGCCTAGCTTCCTCTTACCAATAACACAAATGAAATACCAGCAGCCCACATCAGCTGACAGCGCTGAATCACGCTGTTCACAATCCCTGCTCATTGTCTCAATGCAAGCCCTGCAAACTTAAGGTCAGGAGCTTTATCAGGCTGCTGGGGAAAAAGGTGCTGGGCTGTTTAAGGCTCCTTCTTTCCCTTGGGCAAGAAGAGAAGGAACAACATCAGAAGCTGATGATTCAGTTAAGACACTAACCTCTGCGGACTCCAGTAAGATTATATGAATCATGCCTACCCAGCCTGAGCCTTCCGTTCATGCTCAGATTACTCATACCGCCAACCCTAGGATTAGCATATAGCTAGCTGGTTTATGCATCAGACTTTGTGCTAATAACCCTTTTTGTAGGGAAGGAGCCGTCGCAGCTTCTCAATATCAGCAGACTAGCTGCAGCAGGATTTTCCCTGAAGTGCACCTCAGTAAACCAGTGACCCAGTTAGATAAGTCAGAAAGTTTGGCAGGAGCAAAGCAGCCAGTGTTGTTGCTTATATCACAGTAATCATCAAATTCCTTAATAAACCAGCCATAAGAATGAATCGGTAGAAAACATCCCTGAAGAAAAATTGGAAAACCAAGGTTGGAAACCCTGGAGTTGACTACAAGCTTCCACTTACCTCTAAAGAAAGGTTGATGGAAGCCCAGCGATGGGTTAGACACAGCATTCACAAAATGGTAGTAGCCATCTAGAATATAAGAAGGATCAAAGATGGAACCGTGATGTGCCGCCTTATAAGCAGGTATTTGGCCAAGCTAGGCCATATTTCTTGTACAAACTGCAGAGCTATTTTTTTTGCAAGGATGGAACTAAGTCTATTTTTAGTTTATACATCACTAACGACCTAGGTAGTTTTATGTCAAACTTCTAAATTATACAAATCTTTTGCCTGTGGAATTTAGCTACGTCATCTTCAGATGTTAGATATGGATCCAGTATCAGAGCTGGGAAGACGACAGTGCTGGGGCCTTAGCAGTTCTGAGTGGCTTTTGCACGATGAAATTGCTGCGCGCCCTTCTGCATGCCCTTCTGCACGCCCTGGCTCAGCGTTTCTGGGCATCTCCACCTGCGCTGCCTTAGCTGTCCTGTTTGCCAAGGAAGCAGTAGAATTCCTCTTTAATTGAGGAATGCTTTCTTTGCACTCCAGGACCACGCTGTCTACATATGTGTGGCAAACGAGGATGTACAAGGCAAATACCTTCCACACATTTCCCATCACTTTGCAGAAGAAAGCTTAGAATATTCTACATATCTATTATGAATAAGAAAAGTTGAGAACCCCAACAATTATTTTTTGTCTTCCTTATATTTCGATTTTCTCATTTTCTGCTCTAAATTGTTGTTCTGTTGGGTGCCAAGCCAACCCAACCCCAGGGCAGATTGTCTTACGAGCTTTGACAGCATGCTTTGCCCTCCACGATGTGCCATCTGCCTGCTAATCTTTTGTGAGTTCAACTAATCCTGTTTCCCGAGAGACAAAAGAGGACAACTTTGCACATCACTGACTCTGTCTCTGACGTGACCAACTCATAGTTGATAGTAAAAAATGTAACTTATTCCATTTATTAGTGACAGAGGAACTTTTTAAAGCTTTTTACTATCTTAACCTTCACTTACAGGTAGATTAAATCTACTAGTATAGACACAAGCATAAAAATGACACATCAGTGCAGCTGTTTTAACAAATGATCAAGGTAGCTTAATGACATAACAGAACTTAGTACACATTTTAACTGTTAGGTAACTAACAATACTTAGTCTGTTTAAGCAGCTTTTTGTTTGCAGGCCGTATCTGCACAAGTGGTATTCCTGCCTGCTTGAGTGTGGTGATAGCTTTTGGCAAACACAAGCATGATAGGCTTGTTACTCACTCATGTTTGGAGGCCATCTCCCTCTCCTCTGAACTCAGCCTTCTGTCTGCAGGTAGGAACTGATTATCCTCTTTAAGTGGCTTGTAGGTTGCAAATAAAGGGTTTATCGGATTAGTGTTAGCAGCACTGACATCGTGACTTTAAGTCATCATGACAATATAGAGTCATGGAAGCTGGAATTAGTTTTTGAAAGGGCAAGAGTACCAGTCCATACAGCTAGCAATGCACGTATGGTTGTATAGAATGCATGAAACGCAGAGAATAAATTCTTGCCCTTCCCTCCATCACCTCCTATTTCCAAAGCAAGAGATCTCGAGCTTGCATTAACCCAGTTGGAAAGTATGTCCAGATGATGGCAAGGTAGGGAGTCCTGAATGTGGACTGTAATATTTTGTTGCAGGACAAATAGCTATTGATGATGTATAAACTACAAATGAGGGCAGGCCTAGATCACTTTCGATGCGGATGTGAAACAAGACATCTTACCAGCACCACTTTACATTACGACCCATCTTTCACTCCAAATCCTCTTCCGAGCCAAGTACTCAAATCTCCCAAACAGTGTACACTTGAGCATGCGTCCAGGCAAGGCTCATGCAAGAGGACTTCCCTAGACATTTCAAGGGGCGATACCCCAACCTGAGAATTTGCCAATATACACTTTTTCTGCTACTAAATTAAATACTACCACTCCAGCAATGGCAGAAGTAGAAGATACAGAGCAATATTTTATTGCAGAATAGGTATTTTGGAACTAGCACTAGCTCATCAGCCTGCTACTTGAAAGACCAGGCTACCATTTTTAGGCATGCTTTAGCTGTCATTTATGACTTTAGAGGCAATTTATTTCCTTATCTGAAAATTCAGTTATTTTTATAGAAAGTCTTGTCCACTTAGTTTGCTTAGTTGGGTGGTCAGTGGCAGACCCTCACCACAACACTGGCAGCGTTCCCTTCACTTCCAACTTTGATCCAGGAACTCGACAGACCAGAGATTTCCAGAGGGAGAGAGAGTTTTGAGTGGGAGGTTCAACTAGATCAGTGGTCTCCAAAGTCGAGTGTGTGAAGAAAATATTTAATACAAGCCAAATTTTTTTAATTACAAAACAAAATAAACATAACTAAGCAAAATTAAATAAATGCCATTTAAAATAGTTTTAATTTCTATTTTTGTGTATTTTTTATAATGTGCATAATATTAGTACAGTAGAACATGTATATAATTAATAAATGAATAAATATACATGTCTTGATGTTGCATACTTAAAACTTTTTACTGATGGGGTGCATGATAAAAAAGGTTTGGAGACCACTGAACTAGATTGTTTCGAGGGGGGCCCTTCCAACCCACATTTCTGTAATACACATTGTGTTTCGGTATTAATTCTATAAAACAATGTTTTATTAGTCCCATACTTAATTTGAGATAGCTATATGTGATCAACAAGAATGTAGGGCTTTTACACTCTAGTTTCTACTTCAGCCAAGTATCCCAACATTAATAAAATCTTGCTTTAATCAGAAAGCCTTTCAAACTGGAGCCAGAAGTGGGACGTTTTAGATAATTTCTTTCTGTGAAGAACCGGAACCATTTGGCAAACATGCTTGCACCCTTATCCAAATGTTATGTTAACATAAAATACATTAAACAGAAGATCAGTGTGTCTGGGCCTTAAAAGACATGCAAGTATACAGGATTTGCTGCTGAAATGACAGAGTTCTAGAAAATGGTGGGTGGGTTTTTTTGGTTGGTTTTTTTGGTTTTGTTTTTTTTACAATTACAAATAACGTTACATGCCCTTTAGAAATTATCACTATTATAGAGGTCTTTTGTCACAGCATGTCATTGTAAGGTGATTGTTTTACTAGCAATCACATAATTGACAAGATCTTGGTTTAAAGTAGTTTCTATAGGTGCATATTTAGTTTACTATGACTTAATACAGTCAAACACAAGAATTTGGCTATGCTCAGTGTAACAGATTCTCAAGTGTTTCTGAAAAAAATTGATTTAAAAAAATGAGAAAAAAATCAAGCAGCTGATATTTTCTCATATATATACACACACACCCCCCATATAAAACTGTAATCAAAAGAACAACTACGTTCCACTGTGTAGCAGACTAGATTACACATATTGTACACAAGCAGCAAAAAGATCTGGTAATGCTTCAAGTGTCCATGAACAAGCTTTTAATATTAAGCATTTTAGAGGAGCTTACATGTTCTTTAAAGTGGTCTTAACATTTAAGCTTGTAACTAGTACATTCTCAAAATTGTACAGTTCATAGTAGTGTTGAAGTTCTATATTAACTACAGCTTTCACTCAAGATATTCTTCAAAAGATGCCATAATATCACTCTGCAGATTCATATCAATTGTACAAGCCATCTGCAAGAAAGCAAATTAGTGTATATTCAGAGCAGTCGGACATTAATTAATACTATGCAGGTCAAATATTTAATAACAATTTAAGAAAAAACTACAAAGCTTCTTCCCAAAAAGTGGATGCTTCCTCTGTTATTACAAGTTTGAGTGTGCATGTTGTTGAAGCCCTCTCTGAAAAGAACTGAACAGGATGAAAGCTTCAGTAGACCTTACTGGAGTCTAGCATGATTTCACACTGCAGTTCTTACATTCTGTTGTACAAGATTACTATTTAAAAAAAAAAAAAAAGTTTAATCTAAGAAAATAGTAGCAATTAAAAACCAATTGTTACTTACACCAACAAAACTAGTAAGCTAGTTTTAAAAAGGCTCAGTTTTGATATTTCAGACCAGAACGACTAGCGCTTTTGTTGACGTGGAGTGTGTTAAAGAGGATAGACAGCTTGCAAGACTTGAGGTTTGAAGTTATTCAAAGGGCAGGGACTCCCCTTTAAAATTGGATTTTACCATGCAATTATTCTAAGCTTACAGGAGTAATAGGACCGAGCAGATAGTTTTTCACATCCCGCCACTTGAAGACCTACTTTGAGTTTCCTATTTCATTTTCTGGACTAACTCTTCAGGTAGCTTAGTTCTGTTGTTTTCACTTATTCAGGCCCTTTAAAATAAGGGCCTGAGCTAGTGTCTTTTGTTCTCTGCTAAAGTTGAAACAAAGTCAGCTGGCAAGAGTCAGCAACTTACTGCTTCTCTCCTCCTGCGCTCTTGTTCCATTTTTCTAGCCAAGTCACGGTCTTGAACAAGAGTATGTTGTTGATCTTTGGGCACTTGTTTGCTCTTTTGCTCTTTTTGGGGCTCACAGTCAGTTGCTGCCATGGCATCCAATCCTGTGCCTTCACAGCCCCTTTAAAGAAACCAGAAGAGATCAGTATAGGACAAACCTTGTTTCTTCTTTTTCTTCATAACAAGCCTTTGCACCTGAAGAGAATTCTGCAAATAACTTAAATCAGCACACGGCACAAACTGTGGTTCTGTTTTACATGTTGATTTACAGTAATTTCCCTTCGCGAGAGGTATGCGCACGCTGTTGTCGGGCTGTAGTAGGATAAGGTTTTCTGTGTTCCATTTCCAATCTGTATGCACACAGGATTTATATACATGCTACACAAAGCTTACGTGCACTTTCTTTGACTGACATACACACTTAAATTTCTGTTATTTTCCTGGCCTGTGATGTTTTGCTTCTACTTTCTTCTTCTAACTTCAGGCAAGCATCTGTAATGTCTTATTCCATAGAGCTACATGAGCTGCATGCCCAGTTTTCTCCTCGTGGAAACCTGTAGTAGCTGAAGGTGCCTGGACTGTTCACTATGTGTTCTGAACAAGGAGTGTACTCTTAAGTCTCTCAAATGCTCTGTTTATTAAAATAATACACTCCAAACAAGCAACCTATTCTAATACAGCCAGCGACGGGCAGGATGGGGAGAATTTAGGAACTGGCTCAGACTTACCTTCCACAGGGTCAAAGAGACATGGAAAAAAAAAAATCAAGACTACTGAAGAGGGAAATATTACAGAAAGCAGAGTTTCAAAAAGGTGGCAAACAGCAAAATAAGATACTACTGCAATGCAGTAATTAGTAGGCAGTCACTTATCCCACTCGGCATAATAATAGACCTCAGACTGGTGTACGTATGTGGGCACTCACTAAAACAGTGGCTGCAAACAACTAGGGAAGAATACTACAGCAGTAGCTTACTGGATATGTTTCTCTACAGCAATGCAAAGAATTCTGCTGCCTGAGGTGGTGTGCACTGGTCCTCCTTTAGCTATGTTAACACCAAGTTCTTGAAGACTGGCTTATCCTGCTTCCCCTTAGGATAGCAATAAGACAGGGATTTTCCTGGCTACAGATATAGGAAAGTAAGGTACTGAGGACAGGTGTGAATTCTGGTCATGACCAGAGGAACTGAGTGCTCCAGGGGACAAAAAAAAAAAAAAAAAGTCGTACCTGTGAAGTTTCTTTGACTGCTGAAATGGTACTGATTTGCAAGGGAAAAAGCCACTTTGTGCATTTTGGATGTGCAGTTGTGCTTAGAGCGGTACCGCTCCCCCCCTTCATCTGACACAGGGCAATTACCTCATCCAAACCACTTGGTTCCTGAATAACTAAGCCACCCAGTACCATACAAGCAAAAAATAGAACAACATTTAAAACATACGTGGTTACAAACCTCTCTTTTTCTTGAGGAAGGTTTTGCAGTTCCCTCTCAGCCTGCACCAGAGGCCTTTTTAACTCCTGTGCTTGTCCGCTCCTCTTTAATGCTGCTTTCCTGAACTGTTTGAAGCTCTCAGCAGATGTTTTTATTGGAGCTGGAAGCATCATCGTTTTACATAAGCTTACCCAGGAATCGATATTCTTAAATCCCATATCCTGAAGTTATTAGAAAAAGGAAAACATGAAAGAGGTAAAAATACTTTACAACTACTAATCATCCATTCTCTGCTTAGTTCTTACATTAACACAATGTTGTTTTGGCTGGACCTATTTGGGGGTATCTACAACAAAATATCCTTAGTTTGGCAGAATATTAGTGCAAATACAGCAGTCTAAGCAGACTTCAATATGTTTTCTCATCAACTTTGAGATTCTTAAGCAATATGATAAAAATCATTAGCATTTGTAGCTATTTTTACCCAATCCTTTACATCCACCTCTCCATTTTTTAATTCCAGAGAACACGAATTCACAAGGTTGAGCTTATTCAAGGTCCACTGACAATATTTTAATATGGAGATCACCCTTCTTATTTCTATGTGTAATCCTTACATCACAATAATTTTGTGTTAGGCTTGTAGGTTTTGTTTGTTTTCAATAGCTGTGTTTTCTCCCCCCACCCTATGGCATTTTCTTCACAGCATAAAACAGCATAAACCCAATATTCCTAAGAAGTACTGTTTCTAGTAGAAGGTCATGTGTTTATGAAGGAAATACATATTTTTGGAATTGAATTCAGTAAGTTAGTTAATAGCTTTCTGAAAGCTAAGTGCCTAAAGAAAAATCCTTGGAATATTTTAATTCAACAGACTATATACAAACTTTTTAGGTCCAGAGGCTGACATAATCAATTATTTAGACTAATAATTTTGATTTGATATTTTCAAATAGCTGGTTACCACAGAAGAACTTAAATAATAGGTAAGAAAATTCCTCTGTTCCTCCATTTAAGATAACCTATTGTATGCTAGGAAATATTTTGCATAAATGTCATGAAAGCCTTCAGATTATTTCCCAATTGCAATAATGTCATCAAAAGTGTACCATCCTGTTTCAGAACAGGTTTTTCAATAGTACCCAAGGCTATATTCCACACTACTCTTATTTTTGTAACTGGATCAGCAAGAGAAAGCACACTAATAGCTTAAATATTAGAAATAGATCAAGGAACGCTAATAGTTTAAATATTAAAACTAGATGAGATAAGCCATATTTTTAATGACAATATGGATATGTTATTTTTAACTTAATCTTATATATAATTTACCTTCTGAAATGATCAGAGCCTATAGATTTCTTTTTGTTCGTTTGTTTTTAGCACTAAAAGTGAGATAAATCTGTACAGGTTATAACAATGGCCAAGACATATCAGACATATTTGAATTGTAAGAGACCAGATCTTCAGAGAAGATCCCAGGACAGGGAATTACTGATCCTAGTAAGTATACTCAAACTCTTCTCTTCAAATAGGACTTGAGCAACACTCACCTTTCCTGGAAGAATTTTGGATTTTGGCTCTAGCATGTTACCATTAGGTGTACAGTGACCTGAAGGAAGAATAAAAAAGATTTTTCACTTATATTGATTTTATGGACTATGTTTCCTGAAATTTAAGTGATAAAAATTTAGTCATTCTAGAAATTGATTTAAGAATTTACACTGCAATTTTTAGTTGTTGTTGTTGTTATTTGGTTCAGAATGACAGGAATGCTCCCAAAGATTTCCTAAGCTTAATTTGAACTGGACCACTTCTCTCCAGTTTGGGGCAGGGAAAGGAATAGTTAAGCTCAACTATAGATGAGAAATTAACCCCTGGTTAATTCTAGGAGAGGTCCCAGCAGAATGCCTAAAAAGTTTGGTCAGAAAGCCTCAATGCAGCACCCTGCCAGTTGCTCACCTCCTGTCCCCTCCCCACCCAGCCCTCTTCCTTTTTGTTTCCAGCATTATTTAAGAGTACCTCATTCATCATGTAAACTTGTTTTACCTAAAGCTCTCCAGCCTATTTACTTTTTTTTTTTTCTTAAAAAAAAAAGAAAAAAAAAAGGCAAATAGGTCAGCCAGTAAGGGCTAGTCATCACATTTCCAGTAGCCCACAGGATGTACAAATGCTCCATGCCCTTACCTCTTTATTACTTGTGAGGGAAAAAACCTCACCACTTACACAGGCAAAGTAGAAGTGCTGTTTTGACTATACTAACCTCAGATTAACAGTTCTGATATGCTGTGTTACTGTAGAAGATCTATACTCTTTTATGTGAAAAACACTTTCCCCAAACCTTTTAAGATTTCAAAAAACATTTTAAATGCAGGAACAGATACAATTTCCTACAGTCATTATGGTAAGCCTGAAAATAGACTTTTGTAATATTAGGGACCAGCTAGAATACCACGCAGTTAACAAAATCCATGTATTGTAGGGTAGTTTGATTTTTTTTTTTTTTTTTAAATCTTACATATTACTTTGTTGTATTCCCTTTCTGGGATGAAAATCTAGGTGTACTCTGAAAAAGCCACTATTATAGAACCAGATATAAACACCACACATATTTTATATCCTTCAGCAATGACCCTCTACTGCAGTTTGAGATGTTTCAGTATTTAAGTAAATGTTTAATAAGAAACTTAAGATAACATGCTGAGTTTTGGGGTTTTTTTTATGCAAAGGATAAAGTTTTTGGATGTTTGAATCTAGAATGCTGAAGGCAGAGTATCAAACCCTCAGCCAGTTTGTCATAAAAGGGGTTTTCAGAAAGACCTCACACAGCCTCCAACAGTCAAGACAAGAACAGTGCCTGGCCTTTATCCTATGCCCCCATGCATTGCCTCTGAGGTGGTATAATTGCAAGTGAGCAGGAGAGTTTTTACTATACGGTGGAATAAAATAGGGTAAGAGACCTCTGAAGTCTCTCAAGTACTACTGAAGAGGGTTCCAAATCCTGCCGATATCTCCATTTTCCTGGATTCCAGGTCCAGTTAAGCAAAGTCTACCTAGATCAAATTCTGTTATCAGAGACTTGTTCTCCTCCAGAGCAGAGCACTAGTGTATTAAGGTGTCCCTCAATACAATTAGCATCTTTCTTTCATCGATCATTTATCCTCATACAGGCAGCTTGATTCTTCATATAAGCAGCTTGACAGTCTTGAGCACCAAATACTCCAGAATAAAGCAAGAGTTTCACATAACCAAAAATGTCTAACCCCATTGTTAAGACCGACTTGCATCAACCTGTTATACTTGCCAAGAAGATCTACCTGAAGCAAACTTAAGATAAGTTTAAATTTTTAGTTGTGTCTGTCTTAAAGCTCTAGATATAACGTAGGACTATGAGGCTGCGTCAGAACTATTTGCAGCCATGGGCTTCGAAACGCATTTTAGAGCTGCTTACAGCAATACCAGTCTTCACAGAATCTCCCATTGCGAGACGCTGCTTTTTAATCTGAAGAGAAGCTTGAGGTTACCAGTTTCATAAGTTAAGCTTCTTAACAAGCCACTACTGAATTCAGTGATACATCAAGCCTGCACCCATGCCATCAGAGGCTTCACAAGCCTAAAATCAAGAGCTCTTCTTTCAGAGATGCAGGTAACCTCACAGAAATGCCTGAGACAGTGGGATTCTCTACAAAACTCAATGAGTTGCCCTAAGCACCCAGTTCTAAAATGAGGTTCCCTGGTTTGATCTAAGTAGACACATATAGTACACCGAGCGCTCTTTATACTTTCTATCAATAGATTACAAGCCCTACAAGAGTTCCAGATTAGCAAAGTTTTTGTTGTTGTTTAAAAAACCCCAAAGCCAAAATCCTGTGTTTCCCCTGCCTCCTTCCAGTTTTCTACAGGAGTTAACAGTGGAAAGGGTAAGAGAACACTGAGCGCAGCTGGGGCACGTATCATTGCAGGAACCACCACCACTCTACTATGGAAGGGGGCAGATAACTACACTCACATAACAGCCTTAAAAGCTCTGCTGTGCAATGTAATGCTGAATTCAAGTGTACTCAAAGACAGAGTCTCATTACTGGATAGTTCCCACATTAAACACAGGAGCTCCTCTACAACTGTCTACACAACTGTCCCTTGAAAAGGGGGAGAAGATAGAAACAGTACCAAGTAAATGAGGATTAGGAATAGAAACTTAAGAGGAATAAAGACTAAGCAGTAAACAATTAAGTATGGAAGGGAGCAAGCTTTCTCAATAGTTTTGGCTATGCTTTTTTTCTGTTACTATTAGTGAGCTTGATTTATTTCTGCTTGTTTTCCCAGTCCTTTAACATATTAAGATAACACCAGGATCTTGGTAGTTACAGTGATGCAGTATAGGGGACAGGAATTCAAATTTTAGGCAGCCTCAAAGCTTTATAAGTGAAGATCACTAGCTGAATCCATGGGAGCCATGTACCAGCTCCAGCTGCTGTAAGTCTAAACAAAGGGGGTCATGATGCAGATGGATAGGTGTGTTAAGACTGTGAAAATACCAAATAGAACATCTTGGAGAATTAAATCTCCATTTTTAGAGTTGCTTTAACATAACTCAATTACCCAGCATTATTCTTTGGCAACAGTTAAAGAGTTCATCAGCAGGGAGGCTGTGCCTTTTAATTTCATAAACTTTTCACAAGCTTGTTCCCTCCCATGTTCAAGCCTATACAGGTAGTCTAGAGAGGAGAGAGCAAAGGGGGATCATATCTGGGAACACTAGGCTCTCAGTGTGGATGTTCAGCTTCCAGCTCAGAATTCTTTAGTTTGAAATATGGATGAAGTGTGATGCATCTCTACATGCAATGCAGCTTTCAGAAAACCTGTGTTCTTGTAGTAATTGCAAGTTTGTTCTGTGGTGCAAGACTGTTTGATGTTGCTTTACTGTCAGATCCTTGTCATCAAGAGCCAGAGATGGAAACTCAAAATACACAGAGTGCCCTGGGAAAAGAGCTCCATGAAGCTTCAGCAGAAGACAGCTTAAAGATCAGTGAAGTTTGACAGATTGGAGCATCAGTTCTCTCAGACTTCCTGGAAGGCTGAGTTACTTATCCCTAGTACTAAATTCAGAAAGCTAAGTTCTTAAATCAAAAAATCATTTGCTTTATGTATTTTAACACAGAACAAGAACCCAGCATCCATTTAACTTAAATTTAAAAAAAAAAGCAGCAAATCAAAAAGAAAGAGTAAGGAAAAACTGCACCCCCTCCATTATTCTGCAAACTGATTCATGTGCAAGTGTTCGGTGTTTTATTTCTTTAAACCAGGTTCATATACATTTTTAACTTTGCACCCCTGATGTCAGTTACAGTTTTTATTATGACAATACATACTTTGTTCTTGACTTATGGGTATTGAATGAGCAGTTCTCTCACTGGCCTTGTTTTGAAGTTTATTTGATTTGTCTAGCTGTATTGTTTTCTCAGCTTGTTTACTCCAATCAGCACTGTCAACCTGGGAAGTTGTGTTGGATACCTAGAAGAGAAGTTAGACTTCAAAATATGTTCTGAAGTGCTAAACATGTGGATTCTTGTTCTACAGCAGCAGGATTAAAGATTTAGAAGCTTAGAGCAGTAAGTTGTTGCAGCTCTAGCTTCTGTGAACACCAGGGAAGAATTAGATTTCATTCATATTATGGTAGTCAAAGCAAGTTCTTACATTAACACTTTGGATTTAGAACATGACTGGCTCAGAGATCCTGAGCGATGGAACAGGTAGAATATGAAACTGATACAAGCTCTTTAACCCATAACAGGGTACAATATAATAGAAGTTGGCTTTTACTGTTGTAAAACCAGTTGTTTCACTCTAGCTTATGGATCAGGGTGAAGGGCAGCTGTATTACTTCAGTTCAGTGGTAGTTTTTCCTCTGCGCAAGATTGTGTAGCAATCCCCTTGAACTGGGGAAGGTGTGGCACAAACCTGAGTGTCATAACATATACTACTGGCTGCCTTTGGACAGTGGACGCAAATGGGAAAGGACAAGCTGCTTTTCTTTTTTTGCAGGACACATTCTTGTGCTCATAGACTCAAGAGGTAGTTTCTATCCATTTCAGAAAATAAAAGCTATTAAAACCTGGCTAAAGCAGCTATGTTTGAAGCCATGTTAAGAAAGATAGTTAAACATCTTAAGATGGAAGAGATCATGTTTCTGCAGTAACATCAATAACTTCCTTTGTAACACAGAGGCCCTTCTAAGCAGGATACCCTCCAAGAACATATTAAGACAGAAATGAACAGTGACTAAATATTTCACAGCCTCATCTATGACCCTGAAAGCCCCAGTTTCCATGGCTTTAGGAACAGGAAGAAAAATCAACACACTTTTCCAGGATAGCCTCTAGAGTCTTCAGAGCGAGCTTATGAGATTGTTATTTCTAGAAAACAGGAACATATGGTATAAGCTGCCCACCTCTATTGCAAAACTGTAGGTTTAACAGGGTGGGCTTTTAACCTGTAAGTGTACAAGGGTTACTTAAGTTTAAGCTATGGCATTGAAAAGAAGAAAAATAAGCTTTATAGTACATTATAAACTTGATGTATTGATCAGCCAAACTCTTTCCTTTTGTGTTGCAGCCAACAGGCAATGAATTATTGCCCTATTAAAGGATACAAATGACTTTGTTAGTGGGGTTTTGGATAGCTTTTGTTGTAAACCTTCAGTGGCCTTCACTGCGTCAAATTCAAGCCTGGAATATTATATTAGAAATTATTTAAAGGAGTAAGAACATGCTTTAAAAGAAGTTATTTGAAATGCATGCATTGGAGAGAAGCATGTATTCACCTCTGGAAGAACATGTGTGCACTGGGTGAGAGAAGACTGATTTGTCCTTGGAGTACTCTGAGGAGTTTGCTGGTCTGGAGCATCATGCAGAGCAGATACAGCCGAGATTATACCTGAGAAAGAAGTAGTGTATAATTTCCTCTAACAGGAAAAGCGCAGTCCTACACCTCAAAATTAGGTCACTGTTTAGATCTGTGGATTAACTGGATATGAAGATATGCATCCTAGCTATGCGCTTTGCAACAATTATTTTTAATTAGGTTTTTTAATTGATTTCTCAGTTAATCAGCTACCAGCTCAAGCTGTCTTTTCCCCAAAACTCAGAAGTGTCTGAAGTTATTAGACCTTTTGAAGTGAGGGAGGAAAAAGAATAGCTCCTTGGATCAAATTTCTAAGCAACTTAATATTTGATATGTCTAGACAACAGCAATCAATTCAGACTGCCTATGGCACCAAACCTCAAATTCAGCTAATAGGGATTTCAGACATGAACTTGAGTGGTGGTGATGGGTTTAAGCATTTAATTCCTGCCTTAAGGTGTTCAGCACTTCCTGGAACCCTGGGTTCATTAAGGTATCAGTTTCCATCTCAGAGGGAGGCATGGACACCTCCTCCTGTTTTAATACTGTTCTGCCCCACCACAAGTGCCCCAGTAATCTGAAACCCTAGCAGATCCCCAGTGCTGCCTCACTTTTATTTATATCGTGCTCTTTATAATCCATACCCTGCAAGAACTTTTTCTATTAGCCACTTGATAACCTCCAAAACCCCAAGATAAGCTTATTGGGCAACGCAAACATTAGCTCTGCCATGCCTTCCTTCCTCAGCAGTCAACTATAGCTGTGCTTCTTGCCATAAAGATGTTACCTGAGGGAGACTGGGAATTTTGTTCTGATGGTTTAAGTGATCTATTCTGTAAAGGCTGAAGCCTCTGCAGTACATTGGGAGGTTGCTGCTGCAGTTCAGATGATCCACGATTTTGCAATCGACTAGGAAGAGATGAGGGCTGTGCTTGCAGAACAGCATTGGAGGATGTCCTCTGTAAACACAGCGGCATTCTCTAGAAAGAGATTGCAGTAGTTAATACAGCCAAATATTACTTTATATATAGCTATTTGCTCCCCTTTCCCCACCACTGCCCCATTTCCACTGTTTATAGGATTGAGTAGTCCTTGTATTGTGACACTAATCTAGCATTTTTTAAGAGTTTAGATGACAGAAACCCATGAGATGAAGCACACTGCCTTAGTCTGACAGATACACAAAACCCATGAGAACAAAATATAGTGTGAGGATTTGAAGTATGATGTTTGCTGTTACTCAGAAAGTCACTTAGGGGCTGTTATAACTGACCAAGCTGAAGCTTAATTCCTGTATCCTCTTTTCTCAAGCTTATTGCTGTCATTCTGTCACTGCAGAGGCTGCACTTTTTAAACAAAAAAAAAAGAAAAATGGTGTTGCATAATTCCTCCCCTCAGTCTTTGCCTATGAAGATGCAGAAGGAGCAGCTGAATAATGAATTTGCAGCCTAGTTTCCTGTATCCAGCTAAGCACTTTAAGTGAAAGCAAGTCTATTGTAAGAAGAATGAAGGCTTTGCTGTGATCTTGCTTTGAAATCTGAGGTCTCTATCTCTGGGAGCTTCAAGGGAAATTGTGAAAGGCAGCTAATCCTGACAAGAATTAACACCCACTGTATATACAGGAATAGAGCAATTCAATCTTAGAGGCATTAGAATTGTTTCTAGATAAAACTGCTGTTGCTTATAATAATACCATAGTAATAAGTAATGTAAAATATCCTGAAAATAACTAGTATATTGCACAATTATCTATTTTCAGGTATAGAAATGAGGTTATTCATGGATAAAGAAAAAACATTTAAGTAAGGTTTGCACTGTTTATTAGGTCAATTCTATACTCAAAGATCAAGTTGGAGAGGATTTGCCTTTTTTGGGGGTGGGTGGGGTGGAGGGCTGGGGCATGTGGAGCATTCTCCCCCTCTCTTCTTTTCCCTTCTTCACCCAACACGGAATTACCATAATGATTGTAAGAGGTAAAAGCCTCAGGAGTTCTCCCAGTACATCAGTTGCTCTGCAGATACATAAGCTACTTCTAACAAACAGCAGATTTTATATCTGCATGTAAGTCAGTCCTACAGAACAAGTAGCATTCAAGCCATATTCATTATTTCCAGATAAAGTTGTGTTATTTCTAGTACCACTGTATGTACCACAAGTAACTTTGTTTAGGGCAAAAATGTTATATCCATTCCAGTCAGTTTACCTTAGGCTTTTCCATAGAAGTTGGACGGTTCTGCCTGGATCCAGTCTGTTTTGGGCAGGTTGCTATAACTGTAAATATAGCGAGGGAGGCAGAAAGAGGGGGATGGGGAAGAAAAGCCACCACAAATGAGTCATTTGCATATATTTTCATTATTCACACATACAAGATGTGAGTTGCACTTGTACCTAGAGAGCCAAACCTCACAGTAAAAGAAACATTCTCATCTTGAATACTTTGACTTCAGCTTGATATGTTTAGGGAACTTCTCCCAGGTATAAAAAAGACCACAAAGATTCCTGCAGGATCAAGATCTTTGCTGCCATCAATGACTTCACTCTCTGCTTCCCCACACTGCAAAGGATTGAGCATTCATCTCACCTTACACTATTACCTTGTACAGACATCTACACTGTAGACCTCCAGTTTGGCAAATCTATTCTGTCCTAAAAAACTAGAGTTCTGTGTACAGACAGAAACATCACTCTGATATCCTGATGCTTGCAGCACTGTAACATCCCTTGAACAAACCTGAGGCAGCTTAAGCACCAGGGCAGACTTTGGCTCTACAGTCAATGCTGTTGGCACTTTTGTCCCTCAGCTTAGGGATTAAGCCTTACCCACAAGGTAAGGCACCCTTCGTGCTGCAGACCAGAAGATGAAAATAAAGTAAATCATACTTTCAAAAAGGAATCAAAACCACAACAGTAAGCTATAGCCTAGTAGTCAAGTCTCCAGACCTTTTGCTAGCTGATTTTGGTCCCTGAAGTTTTTCATTGATAAATTGAGTGGATGTTGTAATGCTTTGTTTTTGTGGGCATTTTGGTTGTTTTTTTTAAAACCTACAAACTCAGTATTAAGACACTTATTTAATAGCACTGAAATTGAGCCTTCAACGTGGAACAAACCTACAAGGGTAACTGAAGTCCTTGGTAAGCACGTGGAACAGTAGATGCTAACTGAGAAAGCAGATGTTTTGCCTATACAAATACAAAAAGAAGCTTTCTGACCCGATTCGGAGTCGCTGCTATCTGAGGAGCTAGAACCACTGCTAGTGCTGCTGCCAGAGTCTGAGGAGCTGCTGCTGTTGCTGCTGTCACTCAGTCTGCTCGGTCCAATACTGGACTCAGCATTGTTTTCAGCTGCAGGAGAAAAAGAAAGAATTTAGAACAACCTGCAGTGGAGCAGTCTTCATATACAAGACTAGGATCAACCTTGTTACATCTGTTCTCCCATATAACAGTTCATCTTCTGCCATTTCCTTGTCCACTGTCCATTTAGCAGTGGATTTGAGACCTTTACAGAGGAGGGAGATTTACCAGCAGCAAGCTAGTTGAATGAATGAAATAGCCAAGGAGGAGCTGCAATCACACAACTTACAGTCCTAAAGTAGGTTAAAACTGTGCTGTCTTAAAGACATGATTAAAGCAATTTTCCCCCATAAATTTTCCTGCTGTTAAGAGCCTGTTACTGTGCTTGTTGCTGCTGCCAGACTTGCATGCTGAGGTCTTTGTCTCTAGCCAACTCTCCTCTTTCTCAAGCCATATGTACTCCAGAATTGTCATCTTTTGCCACCTCCCCACCATCTGACTATTTTGCATCTGCAGGATTGATTTAACTCAGTTTATAGTGATTTTGCAGTCAAAAAGCTTTTTCAAAGTGTGTTGCTCTGATGGAAGCTTTGAAAATGAGAAGCTACATGGATACCCGTTTCCCTGGACACAAGCCTTTGTTAAGTGCCATCTTAAGCTCTTCTTTGCAAAGAAGCCAGATGCCAGTTGTAAAGGATTCCCTGGTCTGCCTCTTCCCTCTCCCCGCAACATATCCTTCACTATTGATTTCAGCTGCTTCTTTAAGCTTTTCTTTCTAGGATGTTTTCAAGCCACCATGCATACCAGATGGGAAGACTGTTGCCTGAGCTAATGCTGGATACAAGCCTGTGTCTTGCAGGGCTGCTTCTATCATTTCAGCTAACTGGTTTTACATAGGAGCTTAATAGATATCCAATAGAGGGCAATAATAGCACTCACTAGTTTAATGAGGAACAACTTGACTTATAATAGTAGTGTCAGCTGCATTGATCTGTTCTCAGTCTCTGACGAGAACCACCAGTAAGTGCAGGTCTGCTCAAGCATGTACTGAATTTCTGGCTTTGATATTGAAATGCATTATTGCCTGAAAAACTCAATTGATTCTCCTAGGGCACTTAAGACTAAGGCAACACAGCACACCTGTCACTGATGCAGAAGTTTTGCTAGCATGACAGCATTAGGGAGGCTGCAATCTAACAAGGGTGACTAGAGTTTGTTATTCTTGAATCTCTAAGCCACAGAAAGTGAATTGCAAACAAATACATAGACTGTGGGACCCCTCTCCCCCCTCCCATATTTTCATATGTCAGCATAAGGGAGAAGTGTTCAATGTCCCTTGAGCTCTGAAGCAGTTATCACCTTTACCTGTAATAAAGGATTAGGTGCAAGAATATGGAAGATGTTTTAGACAGGACAAGTAATTGACCAAATTTGCTGCTGCGACTCCAGCTCATTTAACATACAAAGAATCTTAAGACTAGCAATGGGAAACTTAAGACCGCAACTGTTCTGAGGAAGGAGTCCCCAGCTGCATAGCAGTACATAAGCCCAAGGGGAGAATCCCACTTCAAGCTAGTTCTGTTGCAAATGAAGAAAAGCAAGAGTCACATTACATTCCAGGTTCTCCTTCTTTGGGTTTAGTTGACCATTGACATCCAGTAGTCTCTTCTCTAGCTCTTGTTTCCTCTCAGAGTTAAGTTGTTCTTTTGACTTTGTTGGTTTTTTAGCTGTATGTGAAACAGAAGTTAACATTGCAGCAAACCAAAAAGCAAATCTAGTTTGTTGGTGGGTTTTTTTTGTTGTTTGTTTGTTTTTTAAGGCAGCATTTATGCTACATACCCCGCTGCTTTCTTGGTCTCTTCCTCAAACAGGTTGCCACATATTTCTCTAGTTCTCTGAGTGTTGAAGCCTTTAAAGTTTCAAAGTCTATTTCTATTTCATCAGGGTTAGAGTTCCTCAGTGAAGGTTCTCTTGACTGTATTATATGGACTACTTTCCCAAGCTTATCTCCAGGGAGTTTATTTATGTCCAAACTCAACTGTCTTTTTTCATCATAATTCATAGGCTTAGCACCATCTTCATCTTCTGGCTTATGTGCCAACAAGACCTTCTGCATGGTTTTCTTTGATTGACTGCAAGAAAAAAGTGTACCGCAGTAACAGCAGTTTAAAATAATTTGACACCCACACAAGTCCCCCACACTTACATGTTTAAAGACAGCTTTTTCTTAGATTTGTTCTTGTGTTTTAGGTTTTTCGTCTTTTGAATCAGGCCTTTTATTTTGGCTTTTTCCTTGTTCTTACTTTTCTCCCTTTTAGCCTTGTCTTTTTTCTTTTTCAGTCTAGGTAAGTATGCTCTGGTCAAAGCCTGCAACTGCTGGTGAACAGCTTTAAGCTATCAAAAGCAAATAAAAAAGAAATACTGGTAATCTTAGGCAAGGCAATGTAGGATGAACAATAAACTGGCCCTAAATATCACAGGAGATCTGTGGCAGCTGAGCAGATATTAATAGGATGTTTGCTTTCCAAACAAGGTTTATTTTCCAAGCATCTTACTATATTATAGATTAGTCAGACTATGTATATGGAAGAGGTAAGGCTCCTTATTTTATGCAGACATTTCTAACAGCATATGTCTTCTAGCATCCTCTGAAGAATAAAAAAAAATCACTGTAGGAGTATCCAACAGTTTCTCTTTAATTTCAAGCATTTGGGAAGCACATAAGTGCCTTATTAGGTTAGAGCTCTACAATGTTACTGAATTAAGCTAGTGGGATTGGGCTTGTGCATCTTCAACTCATAAACCCCACGCATTTTGCAATATAAAACGGCTAGTTGGGACATACTAACAGCTTCAGAGAAAGACCTAACACAAGTTTGTTTAAGCCTCATAGGAATTAGAAGGAAGATAAGAATTAGGATTCAGACACACTGAAATACTTCACTATTGCAAAGGCTATCTTGTAGGCTTTTGGTTGTCCTCATGCCTATATTCATAAATTGATGATGTATATGCTACTCTGACAAATACTGAAAACTAAACTGTCCCTCATTTGACTAGCAGAACAGATGCTAGTTCTCCCCATAGTTTATCGATACAGCAGCAGCAGGTTAAAGCATTATATTCAAGCAAAATCAAGACCCATTCCACTCTTAGCCAGTGAAGCAAAGCCATGCTTTGCATTAGCATGAGATTCTTTCTGCTTTACTTCATACTGATCTTTCTGAAGTAGAATTTAATGACTTGCTTTCATGTGGCTCAAAAGAGACTGAGCAAGGGAACAGAGCTCTTCAACCGTATGAAGGAAATGCCATTGTTAGAAGAATATGCCACTAAGCTACACGTGGAGTATATCTGGATCCTCTCATCATACTGCAGCAACATGGTTTTATTTTTTAGAAGTTTGAGAGTCATCTGAGGAAGTGGTAGGCAAGAGTACTAGAGCAATGATTCACTAAAACCAGTTTGTATTTGCTGAGGCACTATTCACGGTCACATTTGGACGTGCTTCCAAACAGGAATAGAGTTCTGTATTAAGAAAACCAAATTACTATAAAATCTTTTACATGCTGATTCTTGGTGCTAAGCCTTAGAATGGACAATTGCAAGTGGCGCTATCAGAGAGATTATAGCAGTCATACACGTTGACTACTAATGCTTACTTGCTCCTGAAGCTTTGCAAGGTGCACTGTTCTCTCCTGTTCAGAGTCTTCAGATGAGTTTTCTTCTGAAGATTCATCAATACTGCTCTCACTGGAATAAGCTTCTGTCATTTCTCTCTTAGGCTGTGGCAGAGGAGCACTTGCAACAGGTTCATCGGGAATTTTGGCAAAGTGCATTTCAAAGACATCCTAAAGAGTTAGGTTTGGGAACAGCAGAGAGGTCAGCACATTTTTCAGATTTCTAAAAGCACTATGAAGTTGCAGCTTGTTTTCTAGAACTACACGGCAACATAGTAGTTGGTAACATTTGTAAATGCTACATCAGGGCATGAGATGACCACAAAGGAACCTTACAGTCCTACTCTTTCAAGTCTGACTTAAGTGATAACTCACCTGAAGTTTTCTTGCCATAGCAACTATTTCATGGTCTGGAGAATTATGTTTGTAGCAGCTCATGAACATTAATCTAACATCCGTAGCAAATTCTTGTATATCTCTATATTCAAAATTATCCATTTTCTTCTAGAGGAAAAGAAAATTAATGCACATTTAGGGCTTAAAAGTAGAGAGCATCACCATGAATGGGTAGAAAAAGAGGAGGAGCAAGAATTTTGACATCCAGTATCAGTTTCCGCTTGTATCAAGACAGTAAATATTCTAAGAACCATTACGGAAAGACCTGCTTCTCATTTCAACATTGTCCCTTTAACAAAGTAAGAGAATTTCTTCTTTTAAACAGATTTGCTAACTGTAATTTCTTTGTAGGCCTTTGTAGTACTAGTTTCAGCACTAGGTCAAGACAATAACATTCAGGTGATTTTATTTGGTCATGTACTCAGCACCTGTTTTTGATTCTAAGCATGGTATTTATACAAAGCCTATTCCATAACTGATTGAGTCAAAGTAATGGGCAAGAAGTTGGGAAATAACCTTTATATAGTGCAAGCCAGTTTTCAAGATAATCCAATAGACTATTGAAATTCAACCCTCCTGACAAAGGTGGATCCTAACTTGGCTAAATACTTCAGCCCCAGACAGATGTGCCCAGTGTTTGCAAAGCACTGGCCACATATCTCCATCTAGAGGGGTTCCTTTTCACAGAAAATGTGCAAGGTGTAACATAAATATTCAATGTTGAGGTTCCAGGGCACTTTACCAAGGATAATGAGATTCAGAGAGAAGCAGAAGTTGGCATTACAGAATTGCATTTTGGTTTATAGAGCATTAGCAACAGCATTGTGTATACAGACTGAAAGATATTTAACATGGAACCTGCTTGGAATTGCTTCATGGAGATGGTAATTCCCTCACTACTTATATTAGCTTGGTCAACAGATAAGTAAGATTAGCCACTATGCACATAGTCACAATGAGACTTAGAAGACTTTCTTCAGTGAGCTGTGGCTTAGTTTGAGAGAGATAACTGTATATGGTTTCTGTGCCCATTATTTCTTTCAAAGGAGAAGCAGCTTTCATGACACCTTTTCAGCTAACACTATTGAAATCCAGTCATGACACACGTTATTCAAGCAAGCACACAAATAGTCCAATTCCCTCTGAAACATACTTACTTTAATGGTTCCCAGGTCTGTAGGGCATTTGGTGATCCCTTGGTTCTTACCAAACAAGGAAGATGCAACATCTAGAGGTTTTAAGAAAGGCCACGAATATGCTGCATGTTTCTTTGAAAACATTTCTTTAAGTATTTCATTACAATGTTTTAGTTGTTCTGACAACTGATTCTTTTTAAGAATTTTGGGTGACTGTTGAGAGTCTGGCAAGTATCTCTTCAGAAGCTTATTTGGTATCATACGTTCATTTTCACCTCTGTGTGCTTTAACAGCTTTTCTTTCATTAAACATTGCAGAAGTTTCACCGCTTGCTGTGAATATTGAAGTAGTAGGAGTTGTAGTGTCAGCCTTCCTTTTCACACCTTTTTTTGCCTAGGAAAAGAAAATTTTATAGTCCAAAATACAGGTGTCCAGAACAGTGAGAGAATGGTCAGCTTTCAGACTACACAAAAAAAAAATCTAAAAACTGTCAGAACTTTTACAGCCATTGAAGGCAGAGCAGAAAGTGGCACTTCCACAAGTTTAGACTGAAAAACCTACAAGGCATTACAAGATCTGCCAAGCTCAATCTTAGATGTAAAGGAGAGAACAGGGGGTACTGCAGGTCAGGTTGTGGTCAGTTTTAGCCATTTGAAAAGACTCCAAGAAGCTGATAAGTTATGAAGTTACCACCAGATGACTGCCATGGGAAGGGGAAAAATTACTGCAATTCATTTTAAGCCTGGTTGAGGGCTTTATGTACAAGGTTTATCTCTATTTCTCTTTAACCTGGGTGGTATTTGGTTTGGAAGCAATACAATGTGTGCTTTGTCATCAGTGTTCAAACTCCTCAGGAAAGTGTAAATATACACTGTAGGAGAGCCTGACACATGTGCCTATTCCTCATTGGAAGAGCAAAACCCAAACTAAGTCAATACAAGAGTGTTTATCTGATGAAGACATCAGATGTTCACATCCAATTCAGATTGCAGTTAACAAGAATTTGCTTTTGTGAGCTACAAACACCTTCCAGGCTACTTACGCAATGTTTAAGCACACATGCTATTTTTGGGGATTCAAGCATCTGATTTACATTGAAAACATAAAAAGTTATTAAATAGAACTTAGAAAGAGCTTTATTTTAATACTAAACCCACTGTCCACACCTCAAGGAAAGAACAGTTTCTACATCAAGGTGAAGCCTGCAGCAGTATAGTGGTACACTTCAAGAATGACCATCTTACAGTTCACTTTGAGAACAACATTTTAAAACCACATTTCTAAGAAAAGATATACCAAGCAGTCATCCCAATTTCTGCTTCGTTTCTAGAATTAGTACCAGCCCAGTTATTCAGCAGAGACCTAGAAGATTTAATAGAGAACTCTTACAAATCTATCGCAACAAAAGCTTTGAAAAGATAGTGCAATAAGCATGGCTCCTACGGTTTTGCTGTTAGTGCCTGAAGCAGCAATTTCAATCCCTTTCCTTCCGAAAGTTATTTGAGGAAACTTACTTTTGTTATAGGGACTGCAGCTGGCATTAAAGCAGTCAGCCGAGCTGCAGACAAAGGAGCTAGTGTAACCTGATGTAGCTCTTGAGTCGTCACTGGAGGCTGCTCATTGCTTTCAGCTCGTTTCTGCATTGTGCTCTGCTCATTTGAAGTCCCAGGGTTGGGCTGCTGCGTTTCTGGTTATTTTAAAACAGAAAGTTTTAAAGTTGGGTCTTAAATGTTGCAGCTAATTTCTTTCATGATCGGATAGAACAGTTGTCAAGAGAACCACTCTTCCACACCCAAACTATACACACAGATAGAAACAAAAGCATTGTTACATATGATTCTATGTTCTATGATTCTACATATACTATAGTATACATATAGTATATTGGTATCCTCATCTACTCAGCACCATTAGTACCTCAGCTAGAACTTTGTACCAAGTTATGCATATTTGGCTTCAAGGAAGCTGTGGATTAACCTCAGAGGAAAGATTAAAGAGACATCACACTAAAACATGTACATTGTAGAAACATCCTTGCCAAGAAGAGAATCAAGTTGTTCTCTACATACACACAAAGACCAAGCAGCAAAGGGTGCAAACTGCATCATGAGGGTTCAAGTTTCCTAAGCATAGTTAAGACCTGCATATATTGCTTAGCAATATTACAGATATCGATCACTGATTTGAGGACAGTTTAGACCAATGTTTTTCTGTATTTGATCTAGCTTGTTAGATTACTAACATCTTTTCCAGCTCTGCTGTTCTGTTCAGTTCCCATAGATGTTCACACCTATTAGTTTATATAACAACACTGAGTAACACCATGACATGCTCCAAAATGGAAGTCAGTTGCCTTTTTTTTTTAAAAAAAAAAAAAACAGGAAATAAGCTGTGTGTATAGATCTATCTCTAAAGCCAAAGTCTGCAAAAGACAGGACAGAAATATTTCCTTGATCATAGCAGTGTGCTCTACTATCCAATTCAAAAAGAAGTGCTTAGAACATTTCAAAATTTGTACAAGCTGCATGCTTGTGTGTGCAAAGGGAATGAGGGGACTTAAACAGCATTGATACCAGCAAGATGGTGTTACGCAAGCACCTCAACAAATTGTTGCAATCATGTGAGAACCAAAAAGCTAACTCAGGTTCCGACACATTTCTCAGAAATCTTTTCTGGGAGTCACTCCCACCTGTTCAACCAACATATTCTGCCATGGCAATGAATTCCTTCAGATTTTACTCAAATAAGCTAGTAAGAGCAGGAAGCCAGCTGAGTATCTGCGTCTTCCTCCTGACCCCCTAAAAATTATTGTGAAAGGACCAAGAAATCCACTGCTTTTCCACATCCATCTACCAGATCACTGAAAGGTAGCATTGCTCCTCAAATATACCTTGAGGAGAAAGCTGCAGAGATCTATCAAACTGTAATACTACTTTGAAGAAACATTTGTTTCAAGATATACCATCAACAAGGACCACCACACCACAAACAGCAGTAAGAGGAAGCAAATGAAGTATCAGGAGACCCTGAAGAGCTGTATAGTTGCATAGCTAAATAATAAGAGCATCTGTTAAGTGACCCAGCAAGAACTGAGCTAGCTAAGATCACTGGTCCATGGCTGTCAAAAAGCAAACAGAGGTATCAGGGTGAAGCAGCACTGCAGCTCTTTCAAGACATAACTAACATTTCCCCAACAACTGACAGCAGTACCTCCAGGCCAATTTGGAAGACTACCTTGGCAGTCTGCAAATTAACCCAAAGAGATGTGCATGTGATTCCAGGCACTGCTTAGGCTTACTTCTACCAATACAAATATTTATTCTTTGGCAATGTTGAGAGCTTAGATGTAGAAATGAGCACTATGTACAAGTGAAAGGGTTATAAGAGCAATTGAAAAGACATAGGAAGTCAGTGATGAGTAATAAGTTGCAGCTGATCACCTGGCCCCTTGCAGTTAGGCTTATCCAATGTCACCTCAAGCACTTACTGTATCATTTCCTCATAAGTTTGAGATGTCTTGACTGAATCGTCCTTTTTGTGGGCAAGAGCACTGCATTTCACCAGAAGTTTGCCTGTGAAGCTATGCTGTTACACTGCTGCTGAAGTTGTTAATTCTGATCTTTACCCACTCTTAAATGCACTTCATTAGTGGAAAATAGGAAATTTAGCTAGTACCTTTTAAAAAAATTATTACAGATGCACTGAATCTGCTAAAGGCTTATAGCAATGTTGTCACTGGTCTGATATATTCTGGGAAGAGCAGAGAACACCCCAACTGCTCCAGGGTTGAGCTGTGACAAGCTATGGAGGATTCCATTTCCAGCTTTTGCTTGTTTAATATGTTCAACATATAATACAGGCCTTACCTTCTGGCTTCTTTCCTTTTCTCTTTCCTTTGTTGAGAATCACTCGTCTTTCTTCCGGTGGCATTTGGGCTATTTTCTGCACAAACACTTTTTCTAGTTCTTGGGCCATAAACACAACGTCATCACCAGGCTGCAAAATACAGTCAGTAACGTTCAGAGTAAAGGAGAGGCTGCAGTAATGGAGGGCTAACCTTGCAAAATAAACAGTCTATGGAATCCTGCTCCAACAGATTGAAACAAGCAATCAGTACCAGAGAGGTCTGTAAGTCCTTGCCATCCCTGCTCCCCCAACTCACTTTACTACAAGTTGCTTCATTATTAAAGTACTCTTTCTCCCGCTGTCCCATTGCACAGTCCTACTTGCTTTATATCCACATATTTCCCACAGCAAAGGGAAAAGGGGGCAGATCTGTAACTCCCTCATTTATTCCTATGTTCTGAAGAAAGCTGTTGAAGCTTAAAGATGCTAAGACACAGCCAACAAACATCCAAGCGCAGGGAGATGCTCACACTTCAAGTTAGGTTAGTTGAACTTGTTGGAGGAGTGGAGCTGGGCTCAGGGTTGCTACCCTTAGCCCGCATAGCAGTTACATGGTGCTTGCTGTTCATGAGCTCTGCAACTAAAACCCAGAGATTTTGCAGGTGGAATCCTTGTGCAGAAAAGACTATGCACTCAGTTGTTCTAACAGCAGGCTAGACTTTGCTCATGTGCCCTCAGTCAATCCCAGCAAAGCCTCCCCATCGTTCAGAGAAAATAGTTAAAAAAAATCATAAAGACATTGGATGATTTAGTGCAGGCTCTAACAACCATTTGCTTGTTTTAGACTTGTTTGTATTGTTCAGTAGAATTGGTTACTGGTAAGAGGTTGTGTTTTGCATACCTTGTTATATATGTAGCAGTTCAAGAACATTGTTTTAAAGTCTTCAATGCATTCCGCAGCTTTTGTGTAGTAATTGTGTTCCAGACGCTTTTTAATAGTGCTCAAGTCCATAGGTTTCTTTATAATACTGTAATAATCCTGTGGTTTTGAAAGAGTTAGTCACACAACAGATACCTTTAATATTAGGACATGAAGATTCTCACACAGTTATGAAAGTTAAATTGCAAGAGAGGAGAATTGCATTATGTTGGAAGGAATATTTTATTTAAAGGAAAACTTTCCCCTATAGTCACGTGTACCACGGAAGTAAGTGTTCAGGAACTCTTCACTTCTATTTTTTCCTTGCTCTTTCATATAAGATCCACTGTTCAAAGCCACAAAGAATATTTATTTCAATAGGATCCAGAGCTATACTGGTAGCAGTACTTATGAAAAGTGTATGTACTTCTCATTTGTTATCTCAAAGCCATTTACCTGAAGTAGCACTCCAGTTTACAGAACAGGGGGGAAAGAAGCCAAAGACAGACTTTGACAAAGACAAAGACTCAGTCACTGACAAAAAGAAGCCGCCAAGTTTTCCCAGTTGCTGATCAAATACTTCATCCCCTGGGTGATATTGGCTCTCCTCTCAGGGTTAGTCTAGTGAAGATGTGGCAATATGACTGAAAGGCAGCTGGAATGTGAACTATTGTGATTATTTTTGTAGCATGGCTAAAAGCTTGTGATTAAGAGCATGAGGCTAATTCCCTGCTGGTCCATCTAAGAAATACAAACAGGAATATCCCCACTAAGTTCACATATACATTGTAATTGTATGAAGTTACTACTACTTCAGGAGTCTTCTAAAGCTGTCCTAGCAATCTGTTTTAGTGAAATAAAAAAAAGCTAAACATATCATTGTGCAGACCATTAAGTTTACCAAAACAAAACCAAGAAAACTTTTAAATAGTGCTGCTGATATTTAAGTATCATCCATTCTGCATCTTCTAACACCTGGAGGAGAGAGGCAAAGGAGGCAAATACCTTCATTGTCCTTGCCATGGAGCCAGAGGTTTGCTTGTTATTGTGCAGCAGTTGAACTAACACATACTTTTAGAAGTCAAGTGGCTGCCTTAGAAATCCAGAGAGGCAGAACTGGCCTGAGGCCAGCTGCAAATGTTGCTACAACTCTGATTGAATGACCCTTAATATTAACCTTAAGTGACAGTTCCTTCCAAGAAGGAAAAAGGGTAAGAAAAGACACAGAAAGATAGTCACTTTGACTGTGCTTTCAGACAAACTGACCAAATGAGTTTGTCACAAGAAACAGCCGCAGATAAAGGCTTCTGTCTGCTCTAAACAGAAGCAATAATTTTGTAGAATTAGTCTTGGACATTTGAGAGAACTAAATATGATTGCTTAGGGTGGTGGGGTGGGGTATTAAAGGATATGTACCATGGTTTTAACACCTTTCTACTTATCTACCAAGAGCAGTATCTTCCAGGTCATTTGAAGTACCATTGTGTGAATAACCAATGTTTTCATTTGACTGAAAAAGCTGGGGTGATCCAAAACTGGAGTCTAAAGATACCTAAATTAAGACAGTTTGTCACAAGACATTATATTCATTCACTTTGTTGCAATTGTAACATAAATAAAACCCACAAGGCTACAGAGAACAAGAATTTAAGCATCTATGTCCTAGAAGAATGTTTTGCCACGATAGTGTGATGAGAACACTGTCTTTCTTCCCTATTTTCACAGGGGCATTTAATTCCTCTAGAAACTTCAGAACAACACCAAAGCTGATTTGAAATTATGAAGCACTAGAAGTGTAATTACTTCTATGCATCAAACTGGATCCAGCTTTGCCTATTTACTTTAGGGTCAATCAGGTCTGCTTTTCCATCATAAAGTATTTGACATTGAAAGAGGCTGGCTGCCTCCTATTAAAAATAAAAAAAATCCCAAAGGCAAAAGAAAATACTCATCATATGCAGTGTTAAGAAATATGACTAAACCAGCAGGGAGGTAGAAAGAAGACACGACAGAATACCAGCATCCAGAAACTTCAAGAGGCCTGTCTAAGCATTCTTATTATCCCTTAGAAATATTGATTTACTACAGTCTCGGATCAGAAAGCAAATGAACAAAGATGCAGCATTTAGCGTGCACCAGAGACACAACACAGTTTTCTTGCAGACTGGGATTAATGAAAGCAGTTCATATGCAAAAGTAGTCTTCCATGATCTGTTGCATCAGAAAAAACACTCTTTTAAACTAACATTAATTTACAAGTCCTGTAATACTTTACATATTAATACTCTAATTACAAAATGGTTCTTACAGGAAGATTCAGTGCTGCTGCATCTACAGGCTGATGAAACGGCCAGGAAAAGTTGTGTCTCCACATGGCTTTCATGACCACCCTCTGTAAGTACTGAAGTTGGTTTGTTTGACAACCGCTTTTTTTGTTATTTATATATTCTGGTGGAGGAGGGTTAATAATAATAGAACAGTGTTGGCTTGGAACAGACATCTCTAGCAACTTTGTGTATCCGCTTGTTCAAAAGTCTTCATTATACATCTAACCTGGGGGAAAAAAGAAAAATAAATAGTATTCAGTGCAGATATCTAGATTTAATGCTGTTTACATGTTCACTTCTGTTTGTGGAGTGTCAGTACTGTAGTCACAGGCATACCTTCACGGTTTAACCAAGACACATTTGTTTTACAGTGCATAACTGGATATGCTGGACCACTAGACATCAGCTCTTTAGGTTATAAACATCTATATTTGTAAAGGCTTAAGGAGGAGGCATGTTAAGATCTGTAGGATTTCCCTAGAAATAAGCTTCCTCACCAAGGTTCATCTATCAAAGTCTAGGAATACATCCTCTGCCTCCCCCCTCCATAGATGGAGTCCTACAGAAGAGCTTTAACCCAAGAAGCAGGTTTACAGCACGCGCTGCAAGTCTCGCCTAGCACACAGCAATACCTAGGTATTACCTTCCTTGTGCATCTCAGCCAAGTCACCACACAAGTCCTACAACTGCCAATAAAATGTTTTAGCATACGTGTATTTTGAAACAGTGCTTTTCTAGTTTGGGTATATTCACAACAGGGTTTTCTGCCACTGTCCATCAGCTTTGTTATGTACCAGAGGAATATAAAAGGTTCATTCCCCTCGCCAGTTTTGGATTATTTAAAGAATACTGCAAGGAGCAACCATGGTAATTTGTCTTGAGCCAGTGCAGCGTTGTGGTGCTGGAGCAGAACATGCAGGTACTTGGGAATGGCAGAGGCTGTGTTTTGGGGTGCGTAACACCAGCACTAAGCTAGGCAAGACCTTTGCCAAGCACAATTACAGAAGTTCAAGTCTTTGCCCACCTTAGCTCATCATTGAGTTACAAACACTCAGTCAAGAGTCTCACTTTCTTCTCCCCATTAAGACAAGCACCATATTTTCTCATTCTAATGTTAGTTCCTTGGTTTACCAACATGAGGGGTTTTTTTTTTTTGTTCATTCATTCGATCAAGCATTACTTATTCCATTCTCAATTTGTCCTGTTTTCTGCTAAAAAAATTCTAGCCTGCTTTTCATCATGGTATAAAGTATTTCATGAGTTTCAGAAGAGGTCATAATAAGCTAGATGCTACTATTATCAGCACACTGCCAGAGTAGTATCTATGCCCCACTCTTACAAGAACTGTAACATCCCATCAGACATTACATATCATACATCTTACACTTTCATCTTTGATCTTTATCTCAGCATTCAAAAGCATGCCTCTTCTCAAACAGCTCTTGAAGCTAAAGAGCTGTTCTGATTTCTCCCCCATGTGTTCACTGTAGTCATTTACAGAATGCAGATGCCTTTCATTAAATAGTACAGCCAGCAAGGTAAAAGCTTTCTTTTTTCTTAAATAAGGAAAACGTATCAAACCTGAGTTGTTAATACCAGGAACAGTTCTGGGCTATGAGCCAGCACACCTAGGTAGACACTGCATCAGTAATACATTTAGTACAAGACCAGATTGTTTTGAGGTCCACAGTAAAGCAGGTAGCAAAACTACTGTTATTTTTCATAACACCGGTTTCACTTGAGAGGACAATTTTAATAGTTTAGGCATGAAGGTTTAGTTTCAAGTCATATAAATAACAAGCTGTGTTAATTTTAACTTGGAGAATAATCATCCTCTGTCACCTGTATCTTCTGATGAGACCAGATCTAGCACTTAGACTAAAGCAAATTTCAAAAAACCCAAAGGGAACCTAGTTTTCCTGGAATAGGGTATTCACTGCCAGGGTACAGTATGTGCAAAACAGCTTGCACTCTACAGACAGAGAAGATAGAGTCTGCCTTATGCTTAACAGCATGCTAACTCTGAAGTTAGGTTTTTCTCTGCTGCCTGCTTTTGCAAAGCTAGTTGATAACGGTGGTAGGTACTGGAGTGTGTGCTTGGTCTCTTTTTTAATTCAGAAGTGACTTCACAGTCTAATTTTTTTCCCCGTTCCCACT